AATACAGTTTCTGCGAATATTTAATAACATTACAACCGATCTAGTTAAAATTTGTTGCTACATGCAGACGTTTCGATGAAAAACAATAAAAAAAAGTTTTTTGACTCCACAGATGGTCATGACCATCTGGATAGCCAGGCTTGGATTCATCTAATTATTTTTCCTTTAGATAATCTTGGATTTTATTAACGTGCTTTTCTTATTCGATTTTATTTCGAGTCACATCTGTCTACACAAAAATTTAACAAACACAAATGCAAAAAATATTGCAGAAAGATGCTGCTCTGTATTTTAGTGAAGCATCATCTGGCCTATTTTTATACAGGGTGGGATTCAAGTGTGTAATTGCACGATAGCTCCATTATTATAAAATATATCTACCAAAGTCATTCTAGTTTTTTTTGATGGAATTTCCTGTTTGCTGGGCGTTCCTTAATGGTTTGTTAATACCGCACGATATGATGCTGAATTTTTTAAGAAAAATATGTTTTTACTTTATGTTATCGAAAAAACTATAGATATTTTTTTTTGTCGTGCTATAGGTACTAATAACATATGAAATATTATTCTGTTGCGCTACTAGTGGCATTCCAACCAGAATGTCTCTTAATATTTCTTACAAAAAAGTTGGAACGCCACTGATATTTTTAAAGTGAATACTTTAGTTAGTTAGGTGACTCATTTCTACATAAAAACCCTCTTCTACTAATGACTGATCAGAGGCACCGTTTCTGATTAAACCACTTTTTCTGACTGACTGAAAAAATATCAGTGACGTACGATTTTCTTTGTAAAAGATATCACAAAACATGCTTGCAAGGACCCCTCCGGTGGTGCAATAGAATAACTTTTTATACTGAAACATCCTCTTACATTATGTTAAAACCAAAAAATATTTAAGATATTTTCGAAGATAAAAAATTGAAACGGATTTTCTCTTAAGCGTCATGTCATGAAAAGATTAAGCCATTGCGGACATATGTTAATAATAGGTGTATGTACACCTTACATCATAAAATTATCTTAGGAATCATATCCTGGAATATTAGCACATCATTGGGGAACACCCTTTAACATATCTGAATGGCCGTTTCAAAGTAAGAAGTTTTTTTCAAAATGAGCCTCATATCTCAAAGCATCTCGTCTTTTGAAAGGATTTTGTTTGCATCGTTTATGCTAGTCTTTGAACGCAAAATGTAGTTTTTGCTTGTTATAAGCTTTATTGTGGTATTACATTTTTGGGGGTTTAAAATTTTGTTTAGTGAATTGCATTATTCCAGTATTCAAAATAAATAAAACTACCACATGGTCCGTAGAAGAGATTTATGGTGGATGCGTCCAAGCTTTCATTGAAATTATGCGGTATTTATTTTGAATTTTAGTTTCTATATAACTGCAAAAAATAAAAATATGGCGATATAACCCTCAAAAATTGTATACCAAAAGAAAGCTCATATACCTAAAGGACAAATCAAGACTGTTAAAATATACCCATACAATTATTCCGGGTGGCACAAATTTGACCATCACCTTGAGATCTCAGAAAAGGAAAGAGGAACGAAGTTATTTGAATGAGGCAAAGTTGAGTATTTAGGTATCTAAAAAAGGTGGCTTAGTAAATTTCGAAATTCAAAGTGCATCCGAAGAGAGACAGAAAAAACCGAATTTTATGCTAACTTCATTTGTAGTGGGAACTCTATTTATCTGTGCAAAAGTCAAATTTGGCGTCCATAAGAAAAAATAAAGTTAATGCTGGAGGACAAGAGATGAAGCATCATATTGAAATTCTAATTAGGCCACCTTTTAGAGGAGAAGAAGTGGCAAAGTTGATGTGCAATTTATTTTAGAATCCCACTACAAATAATAATGCCATGAAAAAGACTATTTTGGGAAAAATCGGTTTTTTCCATCTCTCTTCGGAAGTACCTACTTTGGAACATTCTAAGCGGCATTTTCTTTATTACCTAAATACGCAACTTTGCCTCCATTTAAACGAGTTCTTACCGTTTCCGAGATCCAAATGGTGAGGGTCGAATTTGAAAAACGCGGTATACTATTTACTTTGGTAAGACTATACTGTAGCGCATATCGCAAATACTTCATTTCTTACTTTAAAATGAAAGATTAGGATGTAACTTTTACGAAAATATCATTTTTTCTTTAAGAAACCCTCTGCTTGCTATTTTATAGAACGTCGAAGTTGCATTTTTGGTGGTAATAGTCTGGAATAGAATATGTTTTATATGCTGTCTTTTTTTGCCTTTTGCACAAAAGGATGCTGTAAATTATAAGAATATAACATAAACTGTATATTGCTAAGGAAAATAGATATGAAACTGTGAAAAATCGTTGTTTTTGCCAAAAAAAGGTTCAAAACCAGACGTGTTATTGCACAAGCTTATTAGCTTGAATAACAGATCAAAATACATAGTCAAGCGGAATCGCACAGCAACCCTCTGTTGCGTGACTCAGTGGACTACACAGTGGAGCAAGTTCGTAAACATTCAAGGCCACGGCTCGCACTGTAATCAAAAGTTAGCGTGAATCTTTAGTAAACTCAAAATTACACTCTAACAAAACCGAATCAAAAATTTGTCTAGTTCACCTCAAAATTAATCCGTGTACCAAGTCAAAAAGCCTAGGTGTTTCCTCTTAAACTAAGCATATCTATTTTTCTTTGTTCTTCTCCTTTTTTCTTCTCTTTCCCTTTCTCTTTTTCCTTGACTTTGTCTGGTTTCTGGGCAACCAGGACTGACAGATTCGACTAACGTACATCAGACAGTGACTAATGGGCAAAGGGCCTACGGACCGCCCAGACAATTAAATGACGAATAGTATAGATCAAAATACATACGTAAATGATGGTATTTACTTGGCAAACTGTGTAGAGGTGTTGTTTTGTATTTTTTCAATGCCTTCTTGAAATTCCTTAACCATTTTTTTCGCATATTTTCAATGAGATCAAAGTTTTTGCGTTTATAAGAAATATTTGAAAGTACAAACAATTCTCAATGGCCATTTTATAACGCTCAGTTCTTGACAGATAAAATAAACGATGTCCATTGTTGCCAAGTTGTACTTTTTTTGGGAGAAATACGTAATTAGAAATGAGGTTATTTTCAAAATAAAAGTCTTAATTTATTCTAAATGGCTTGTTTTATGAAAAGTTGTCAGAACATTTACCGAAAACTAGATGAAATTTTGAACAGTATGTGTCTAAACAGTGGAAAATGCACCAGCGGCTTGCGTGACATAAAAAATACGCGTACAAAAGGCATTGCATATACAAATACCCTACCTCGATTCGTCGATTTGGACCACCTCGCCAGGTCCGCCCAACATATCATCGTCCAACATTATAGTTGAATAAAGATCAACGATCATTTCATCAAATCATCAAAAAACTTGCAATGTTCTTTGTTATGTTTTCATTATTTAGTGATTTGCAACAGCTACTTTTTCAGTTATTTCTCATATATATATATATATATATATATATATATTTATATACATACATATATCACATTTAATTAGGTATATTTTATAACATCAGCTTCAGTTTAAATAATTCTTCAAGTACATACATACAAAAACTAAATAGATTATAACTATAATATAGGAAAAAGAATAGTACTTTTGTGAAGGGCATAAGGCATTCTTCAAAAAAGTCTCTTTAGCTAACGCTATCGTAGGACACAAGGTGGATTTGGTACAGTAAAACCTGCCGGCCACACATCCAAATTGCATTTTCATGACAATCCTGTGCCGATTGAAGATTTTTGCGCTGGTATATACCTAAAGAATTTGACAAACCAAATTAAGGTATATTCATCCACGATTTGGCAACATCGCAACAAGATGGAAAGAATATGACAGTGACGGTGGTGTAGTGATGGGAATAATTATCTGAAATAAAAGAAATGACTACTTAACAATGAATTATTTTCATCATAAAAATAATGCAAAATTGCATTATTGCGATGAACACTGTCACAGTAACTTACCTACAGTGTATGTTATATTCATATAAATTTGAACAATCTTTTGTATAAACAAGAAGAAAACAGCTTATAAAGCAGTATTCTATACCACAATATTAGCACCCAAAATACAACTTTGAAGTAAGTACTATAAAATAGCAAGCAGAGGGTTACTTAAAGAAAAAATGATATTTTCTTGCAAGTTGCATCCTAATCTTTCATTTTAAAATAAGAAATGAAATATTTGCGATATGCGCTAAAGTATAGTTCAGGCTTTCCTTTCCTTTTTTTTAATGACAATCTGCGATTAGAAACTCTGTGCATTAAATGATACGCAAAATTTAAAATAATATTCAAATGACTAGAAACTATGGGTTACGAAGTACATTGGGTCGATAAGTTTGCTAGACTATCTGCAAGCTGTCAAAGTAGACTATTTTTTTTTTCGGACAAAATATTCTGTAGCTTCAGAAGTACTGATATAAACCCTATAATGTTATGCTATATCCAACTTCCTTATTTCAAGAATATACTAAAATATACAACATATTCCATTTAAAAAAATGTATGTGTTGCCAGCGTATTTTCCAAGTAGGGTGAGTACAATTTTTGTAAATAACTTTTTCCGATATCTTTTATAATAACGGAGCTATCGAACGGTTCCACATTAAAAACTTACCCTCTATAAATTTGACTCAAGAAATTACTCCAGGTACCTACTTTTCCATCACCTGTTTTTGAGAATGCATCAGTTTTATATCACTCAAAATTTATCAGTATATTCTATACAACATCTTATACAGAAAACTTACCAGCAGCAGTGACACCTTGCGACGCAGGCTGTCCGGCGGCAGCATGTTGTTGCTGGGCGGCGGCTGCTAGGCCGAGGGCGGCAGCCTGATGGGCGGCACCCATGCCTGCAAGTCCCGCGTGGGGCAGAAATGCGGCAGCTGCAACGGCCGCCTGCGCGTTGAAGTAGGCCATCCGACTGGCCGCCATGGTCATGTGGGCGGCGGCATGATGGGCACCGAAGGGCGAGTCGCCCGAAACTGGGGCGCCGAAGCCGCCTGGGCCACCCCCGGGATGGTGAGGGCGGTGATGATGGGCGAGTTGGTGATGGTGATGGTGATGGGCTGATGACGTCACCGGTGAGGGGGACGAGTACACGTTAGGCGTGATAGCTGACACGCCTGCCGTTGGGGACCTGCATCAAGACGAAACACTAACTTATTTGCTTATTGCGTCCAAAGAGGTATTAGATTTACTGCCAATCGTATAGGTCTACTTCATGGCCAATTTCCAATAATTTGTGAAGGTAGATGAATACTCATAGGTTTGTGCCAACCATTATTGGAAGATTTCATGCTCAATAGTAGAGATGTCACGGATATTGGGTTAGTATTCGGTATTCGGCCCGTCATTTTTTTATTATCCGGTATTCGGCCGAATATAAAAATCAAATCATGTGAAAATGAAACACTAATCACTTAAAAATTAGCATTTTTTTACCAACAAACATTAGAATTAAATAAATCGTGATGAATGAAAGTAGATTTTTTTCATGGCAACAGATTTTGCTTTTTCTTATAACCTAGATCCGCTTGTGTAACATCTCTCAGTCCCACGGCGATGATAGATAAATCTTTACGAAATCTCAGTTTTGGATACTGTTGTACGTTTACTAACGACTAGTACTTGAAAGCGCCTTCTGTCGGATCTATGCAAATCGCTTTTAGATAAAAATTAATGTCATATGCATTAGTACTTTCCTTTTCCACATCCTCAGCTTTCTCCATGTTTCATGTAGCTGCTTACTCAAAAAGAGTAATTTTATTGACATTTCTTTCATTATTTTAGGAAATTGGCAGCATAGGTCAAGAGCGTCGTCATATATTAGGTATTTGGCAACAGCACTATTCGTCATCTCTACTCAATAGATCATAAATATGGTAAAAGGCTTCCTATTCGGCACATCGACGTCGCATTGAAAACGAAAATTCTGAGTCAAGCAGTTTTGATGTAGCACTTAGGCAAATTGCGCTCAAAGTTGTAGCTCCTTTGTACTTTTACAAGGAAGTAGAGTACTATAATCTAAATGTTATATTAGAATCATCCAACATACAAAAAATCAATAGGGCACAAAACATATGTTATGCAATATGGTCTCCTGATTAAAAGTCTCAGTCAGACACAAAGTCCGATAATGAACAATTTTCAAGATATAGAGATTCAAAAAACGATCAGGAAATACATCTGCTAATGTTATAGCTGAGGGCAACATGTAACGAAATAAGTTTTGATTTCAATGTATTTGCACATTGGAACACAATTTTTTTATGTTCAAGATGCAAGCCCTCACCCGTTCCTTCATACATATACAACACAAATATCTATTATTTAAATTTTTCGAGACGTGTGTGTTTAGATAGTGAAATTTTATATTAAGTGAAAAGTGCCATATTAGGAAAAGATTTCGTTACACCCATCAGAGAAAGTTAATAAAAATATATGTATAAAAATGCATCAATTAATGAAGCAGGAGAAAAATGAAAAGTATCAATAACATTACACAAATATTTAAATCATTTGACTGTAGTTTGCATAGTTATTTTTATGTATCTAGATCTGTTTCTCATTTCAAAGTATTGTTCAAAATTCAAATAAACTTATTATTGAGTTGTTGCAGGAACGTGGTTCTTTTATATTGAAATGAGTTGTCTATTGCTGGCAAGGCATCGTGATTGTCGTGGATGAATGTGTGATGCTTTCTTGTTATAGCCAATGATGAGTCTAGAATAGATCCAGAGTAAGAGTAATCTGGTAAAATTGTAACACTTCCTCGACGGGGTGCTTGAAGATCCTCTGAAGTTTTGAAAATGTATACCTACGTCGTTAAACCAGCAGTAGCAAGGTCTCTTAGACACTTCTGGAAATTTCATTTAGTTGCATGTCCTCAAAAAATGCTAATGCGGTTACTGCAAGTATGTCAACCACCCATTGTTATTTTTTAGGTGTGCAAGGACTGGCTAATGGATTACACTTCTTACTTACACTCTTGTATAAAACTGAACCGACTACTATTAGTATGACTAGGAGTAACACATTAATTCACCTACTTATTGGAATGACTAGTTAATCAATTAATAAATATGTGATTTTAAGCCCATATGCGATACAAGGAGTACAAAATAGTCATCTAGAGCCAATCCCTCGCCTGAAGCAGTTCCAAGAAACTGGACTGGTTAATTGACAATTAGGAGAAAAATCAACTATGGTTAGATCATGAAAAGCTGTTTGGAGTAGTTGAGTTGAGCTAGAGGATATCCATTGATATTTCTGGAATAAAGCGCTGTTATAACAATACAGCAGCAACTTCCTAATGATTCTCAAATACAAACGAATTCGTCAGTAAGTTATTTGGCATTAGCTCCACGGTACATTGAAATGCAAAGTATTAGGTACATGGTAGACATCGTTATGCGTCGAACCAGTGAAATCAATATCTTATTATGCAGTTGACAGTTTATTATTCTAATAATGTGTATAACGATTGGGCTTTGTTTGATAGCAAATGTATTGATCTTTCATTTATCTCCAGCTTACTGATAATCACAGTATGTACGCTCTCAAAAAAATAAATGTCATTTGTTCACTTTGTTCCTATATCTATAGAAAATATAAAATATATTGTATAGATACATTTGGCAAAATCCAAATTCGTTTGGTAAAATTCCTATCAGAAAAAGTTATTATAAATAATTTGGAACGTTGAATGTTTTCGTGTCATATCGTTTCGATTTGATTGGACTGTCAATGTTTTGTTGCGGCCACTAATGGAGATAAAAAAATCCTTTACACTAATCCATGCATTTTTCTAGACAGATATTGCCCCAAAAACTTTCCAATTTGTATTCATAAGATTTGTGATGAAGTTACAACAGCAGTAAAAATAATGGTGAAACTACGAGTACAATTACCTCCAAGGGAGACTCGATACTTAAATTATAGCCGCTAGTTTTAAAGACAGGCGTAATATGCTAACAAGGATTGTGTTGAGGCTGAAATCAAATATATCAAAACCAAAGTAGATGTTAACTAGCGGAGATCCAGCATATTATATAATTATACACTGAATGAAATACCTGCAGTCTAGTTTTTCCTTCATGTAACGTTTACACCCACTAGTATCACTTAAAATTATATGAGGCGGGTGGAAGCATGAACGTTAACACAACAATTGATAAAAAACTTTCTGTATCTAAAATGGGTTGACGAATTTCTACATCTTGAATGGTAATGCCATAAACGGGGAAGTAGTGGCAGAAACTGGCAAACAACATTGAAGATAATAGATTAGAAGTCGAGGAAATATGACTAAACGAATAGACAGGGAAATAAAGAAATAGATACAAAATTGGCAGAAATGTCTTAGCCTAACATCTGTTCAACTTTTTTTGGACAAGCTAAAGACAAAATATGAATTGTTACGTGAATACTCAATGTCAGTACTAGAGAGGACAATTGAAGAAGAAACATATACCAGACTCATTTTCAAAGCGAGACACTAGTTGGTCAATTTTTTTTATCGAAAGATGAGTTATTGACAAAATGCCTGGATCTCTCACTCTCTATCGTACAACTATGCCATTTTGAACCTAGTACAGATCAGGTTGGGTTTCCCACATGAGAATTGGTACTTGTACTAATGAGGAGGTGATGAATGTAACATGCACATTAAGACATCTATAGTTCTAGGCGTAATATATCAGAAAAGTGCTCTTGTCATCTTATGAGCATTGTCTTTTCAACCTAGTCCAAGTTCTTTAAGCCTTGTGGAAATTAATTTCCGTGGATGGCAGATTTCAAGATGCTATTACAAAACATCCACTTTAGAGCGGTTATAAACCATATTTCAATAACCTAAAATATCAATGGTCAATTGTCATTATAACACTGTTTTTTTTATCATAGTCTATGTTCACTTTTACCATTCAGTTGGACAGTTGCACCGTCAAATGTGAGAGAGAATGTAGTTAGTAGATATATTTTACTATGGGGACTTGCTAAGTTCCTTGTGCTTTAATAAACTATAGGTATTACAATGAACAGTTGACGACAATGCATTTTTTAAAGTAGCCTAAGTTAATTTGAATGCTTCAGTCTATGGAACAAATGTTTACGAACTCTTCTTCAACATTGTTTATTTGTTACTTTAAACTATAGCGCAAATTGCGTGTGTGCGTCTGGTTGGAGATCAGCTTCTTTGAAGGAAGGAAGAATGCATCATCTTTGACTATGGGAGGTTGCCAGTTTCTTTTGTACTTCATTAAAAATTATAATGCTGTAGTGAATAAAAAGTTGCTAACCCTTTGATGTCATTGTACCTGTGCTGGCTATCCCCCAGGCCAAGCAACTCCTGGATGGCAAATGGCGACCTTTGTGGCATCGTCTGCGATGGTTTGTTCAGGATACTGGGCGCCGTAACGTGGATAGTCCCTTCTAGCCCTTCATTGTTCATCTTCCCGGCCTCAGTCACTTACCGTCGGAAACCGGCAACACAACGACAACACTTGCTAAAATTGCAACGCCGCATTTTTCATTTAGGATGTCATCACCACGTCATTTTGACGTGCGAATAGATACCAATCCTTGAAATATTTTTTTAAATGGTTGTAATAGTTTGAAGGAGGTATCGCGTCGGACTACCTCACATGGCAAAACCCGGATTCAAACTGACTATTAGAGCCCCCGAAACGTACACCCTTAATGAAAAGAAGCTCTTACAGGGGGCGCGGTTTAACACGGACCAATCCCCATGCTCCATTCTCCCTACCCAACTTTCGCCACTATTCTCTTGTACCATAAGGCAGGCAATGGCGGTAAAGCGGGCCATAGGCGTGCCAAGTGGGTGGACCCGAAACTGAATGAGGCACGATTTCCTGTAATCATTGTCAGTTTGCCGTGGTAATTGGGGATGATGCCTTCAATTATCATAATTGGGCGGCTATTAATTGGCCAGATGGCGCTATACTACGAACGGGTGATTGGGAGAGGTGGGTGGATGGGATTTTTTGGGGAGGGGGTGATGCGGGATGTTTGATGGGAGCTTAGTAGTGTAATTCTTAAGAAGGTGATCTATTTAATAGAACATGAATTAAATTTATGATTCATCTGTACCTCAGAGCCAGCCTAGGTTAAATCCAAATAACTAGTTTTGAGACAGTTGCGGCTGAGATATTTTTCTTGTATCGTGTTGTATGCGTCTTGATTTTTAAAGTCGTAACTTCCTTATAATTACATTTAGGTGGACGGTGTAAGTAGTAAATAAAACTTCACCTTGTTATCATGAACTTAACACATAAAACTCATTTTTGGCAAAACTAGACCTAACCTGACTATGAGGTACAGACATAGTTTGACATAATGAAGCGTTAACAGTCAAATCCGTCTTTACACTATGGGCAGTAGGGAGGGGTATGTGCCCAGAGCCCTGGCCTGGTGGGGGGCCCCAAATGCCGAAAATTAAAAATTCCCAAAAAGCCTGAGTGGTTATTGGACTCCTTCAGACATAGTCTCCGGGCTCCTTGGTCCAGGGGTCCCTACATGGCTTAGGATGGCTCTCTTAATAGTACCTACCTACCTAATTCGAAGCATGAAAATTACTTGGTAATTTTGATTTTGCTGTTGCCGCTGACGGCTGTTACCGATTATATTATGTAAATTCAGTTTCTCAAAACGGACGGAGCTTGGTTAAGTTGCTTATCTTATTAACGGACCACTTCTTTGATCTTCAAAAGTATGTTTTTTTTTGGCATAGGTATGTCCAATTTCATTACAAGGTGGGTGGATCATTTAAGACAAATAAACAGTTATTATTCTTTCATCTACTGAATAAATGAACCAAACTATTGAGTAACAGTTTGATTTATTATCTAACTTATAACATATTTTTTCATTGCAGAGTCAATCATTATTTATTGGATTTAAGTTGTATTTAACTTTTCCGAACGGCTTTCTAAGGAAGGAGGACTCATGTAAGGCCCATAATAATAAATAATTTACTTGAAACTAAGATAATGATCAAAATATCTACTTATATCTATTACTTAAACTATATAATAAGGTATTTCATTACCTAAGTACTTTCAATAATATTTATATTATCATAAAACAAACCCAACGAGGATGACTTGAGCACTGCTCTAAAACCAATAATGTATTAATGGACACATTTTAAAAGTAGTTTCGATATCAAGTTGTCTTTCGATAGGATAAAAAAAATAAAATCGACTAAAATGACTTTCTTATGGGTCCGTTCCTTGGTCAAAATGTTTCAGAGGGCGTTAGAAATCTAAAACTCAGTAAATATCAGA